TATTGTAGTATATATTCGTTAGTATACCTAATTAGAAGTTACCTATAATATACCGGGCTACGTTTAATTAAATTGTAATCCATATTTCTACGATAATAATGATTTTTAATAATCTAAAATGTGTTTTCCAAATCTCTTACTCCCCCCCCCCAAAAAAAAGCACCTAAGCTCTCGTAAATGTTCAAGTGAAACCATGAATTCAGCGTCATCGTTTCCATTGTCATTTGGGTTTCGAAATTATTTTGATACATCATTATAACTATCCAAATGGCGTTAAGATAAAAATACATGAAGTATCGATCAAATATAGATAGGTACCTATTGTAGAGTACTTACGGGAAATTCGTTGAATTTTTCGGGGATTCTATAGCCGGGTGTAGGTCAATTGCGTCCCGAATAAAACAAACATTTTGCGAAAGAGATGATTTGAGTCCTATAGTAAATATGTTGAATTGTACGTACCCAAAATCTCTATTATAAAGTATTGTTAAGTAATTGTGCGATTTTTATTTTAAAACTACGAAAACATTAATATTAAAAGTAGCACAAGTCTGATGTACACGATTTATAATAAATTATATTATTATTATTACCTATAGCAGAAAAAAAACAAAAAAAAAAACAAATAAACAAAAAAATCTTTTCCATACACTGTTTATTAGGCAACGATACTTTTGAAAACGGTTCATTGTGTTAATAGCGTTTGAAAGTCAAACATCGAAAAAGTAATTAATATATTGACACAACCGTCGATCGGAAACATTTAATTTGTAATCGTTTGATAATACAAAATAGTGAAGATGTATAACGTTTTTCGACTCGTTATGATCGGCGTCAATGCTGTGAGCAAGAAGAAAGAAAAAAAAGATTATTAATTACCAAGCCAACATCATTCGGTACGGCGTCCATTACAATTAGTTAGACTTAAATAATATTTGACGGCGGTGGATATATACCTACGTTATAAGTATAAACGTATGATAAATTCGAAATTTCGTTGAACGAAATGCCGATTTTTTTCCACTGGCCATGTATAAAAAACCTGCATCGCGATTATTTTATATTCGATGTATAGGCAAACGAGACAATACGTACGGCCATCGCAGATGTGTACGCCATAAACTTACAAAAGAAGTATGACACTATCTTTTATGTCGTGTCGAAAAATTTTATTTATAAGTTTATAGTGTGCGCATTTGCGATGGTCGTGTGTATCGTCTCGATTGTCGATACGTTTAATATAAAATAATCTCGGTGCACATTTTTTTCGAATTTATTATTTATTTATTGTGCGTTTTATATTTATATACGAACAAACTAATTAGGTAATGTTTTGTCGATTTAAGTTTAAAATTAAACCTTTTTGTTGTACAGATTATACTATTGCCGTTAAGCCTATTATGCGTATATTATTTCGAGTTTTGACAAATAAATGAAAATTGTAAAAAATTTATGATTATTAAAATATTATTCAGTAAAAAAAATGAATAGTTCGTTTATCATAAGTATAATATTACGGAATATTTAAATTACGTTCCGCACATTCGTTTGAAATTATTTATTGTTGCGTACGTACAGATTATAAACCAAATTGCCATGTTCTTCAATTGTTCTACCGGCAACCGTGGCCCATCCGCGGTGCAAAGTATGTTGAGGCTTTTTCTTCATAAATATTTTCTAGTTACTGTTGTATATGTATTATTAAATTATAAATTGTATTTAAAAGACACTCTTGTCAGCGGGATGTCTTGTGCGAAAGACTCGAAGAACAAGTTCGGTGAGAATCGATTACAGTATATATTTTTAATTTCGCGTATTCCCGAGTATAATGCGCATAGTTTCATATTTAAATGTCAGCAAATACCAAATTATTTCGCACACAAAATAAAAACTTAGAACAGCAAGTAAAATTGTATATTATATATAGTGAACACATCGAAACGTCCCTTAACGGACACCTTCAAATAGGGGACGTTTTTTCGGGAACGGGAACATTTTCACTATTTATGTGTAGGGAAACGTCTAAATACAGGACATTCTAAATAACTGACACTTTTTAACATTCGTATTGATAATTTTTATCGTAAATCGAGAATAATAAATTGTATAATATCTGAATAAAAGTCTACACTATTAAGTTAATGTATAATACTATACATAATATTCATATTATTATACTGTGCATGCATATCTTATACTATCCGTCCAGTCGTTGAAATATTATCGCGTCGGTGAAACGTCGTAGCTTGAAGATGTATACAATTGATGTAAAAATAAAATAAAATTTATTTAATTTATTAATTAAATAAAAATAAAATTTCTTCTTTCGGATAGCGGACAAAATTTCAGCGATCGAGAGTCCCGGTATTTATACGTTTCACTGAAGTTATTTATTTTAATCAGTCGTAAGGAGACTAATCATTGGTTCATTGGAAAGTGGTAATTCATTATCTTTTCGACGTGCAAACAAACATACGTTTACCATACACGGGATTATACATTTTCAATTTATCATTGATCTGTAGTCGATAAATGATAATACATCTTGTATCAATTGTATACACATCGAACTAAATTATAAATAGCTATTTTGAACATTTATAATTAAAATATTATCACTTTCATATTATATTTATACAAAATATAATCCGATAATAATCTATGTATAAAAAAATGTATGTCTGTATGTATGCCTTCCTAAACCGTTCATCCGATTGCCACGAAACTTTGGGTAGTTGTTGAGTACACTCCCGTGAAGGTTTCTGGCAAAGTGTATCTATGAAATTCTTCGATAGCTCCACTTTCACTCATAAAAACCGGGTTTTAGGTACTTTTGGTACCGAAATGAAATATTTTTTTTTTTATTTATGAGTTACCTCGGTAATATACTGATACAAAAACAAATATTATTAATTCATTAGGTTGTAATTGGCAAATTCTTATTATGTCTATGGTATGTATTGTATGAGTGTGTATAAAGCTAGCGGTAACTATGTATTTTCTTGTCGTGAATTCTTGATTATAGAGAAAATGTAAAAATAAAAAAAAAAAATAAAGAAAATGCATTTTTTAAGGGCAACAATGATTAATTGAAATAATAATGACGGAGATTGAAACAAGAAATCTAGGGGAAATCGTTTTTATTACACATTATTTGGCACGAGCCACGTCGGGTGGGACATTTTATGCATCTAATGTAAATTTACAAGCGCATATTTGATTTTGTATTAAGTTAAATTGTGGACATCAAAGGTCATTTAAGAAATTGATATTTCAATAATGTCTTTAATCCATTTTTTTTTATAAAATTTCTGTTTGAATTCAAACTAATATTTTATGAACAAAAAATAATTATTTACTTTTTTTGGCTTATAAAACAAAATTATTAATGAATATTTTCTAAAATAAGTTTATATTAAGATAATATTTTCAATCGACGTTAATTTTGTCGTTATGTCTTAAACACATTAAAAATGAAATTTAGATATGTTTTTTTATACATTTTTTAATTTAAAAGCTACAGCTCAATAAACCACTTTTCAGAAATTAATTTTACATCCAATGTTATTAATTAAAACTATGACATATTTTAAATAAAGGATTAGAGACAACTGGGTGCCAACGATAATATTATACAGATTAATAATTATAATTATATTGTTATTATCATGGAAATACAGGGTTCATAAAAACTACATAGGTATCATAGGTATAAATATTATTTAGGTATCCCTACGTACCCACGTAGTAATGTTAATAATGGGTAATAATGTTTATTGAACTTTAACTGTTACTGAATTTCGTTAACATTTAAATAACTCAATTTATTTGTTTTTTTACTGGTGTAGTCGTTGAAATAGATAATGTATTAAGATTGAAAAATATTTTTTTTTTTAATAACGAAATAGCACGTAGATTTACGAGTAAATTATAAATCATTTATTTTTTTTTTTTAATATTAATCGCAAACTTTGTGTTAAAACGAGTATAATACTATGGCGAACGTTTATGTTACCAAGAAAAAAGAAAGCATTGATTAAAAACACTAGTATTTTGTACATTTTTAACCGTCTATTAGATTGTTATGTATTTCGTAACATTGTGCAAGAAAAAAGTTTGAAATTTCTTCGTACCTAATATTATTGTTCACTTATAATGCCATTACAGCTCGGGTGTTATAAAATTATTCTCTGGGGCCACGATAGTGTCGTGTATTGTAATGCTATTTAAAACCAAAATGAACATAATATTTACTCACGAGATTCAAAACAAAAGAGACCCGATGTTATAAAAATAGATATCAAAACACGGTTAGGCCGCGTAATATTGTCCGATATTCGACCGTCTCGCCGCAAAACCGAAAACTAAACCGTTCAAAAACAATGTAAATCGTGAAATTCATAGCCGACCGTACGAGTCTCCGCGAACGCATACGTATAGGGAAACCGCGGCGTACGGTTCGCCGAAACCTACAGCCAGCCTGCTCGTGCCGCGACCGGCGCGGACGTTGTCGCAAACGTAATAAAAAACCATAACTGCCGTACAATAATAATTAATCCGTCGTTCCGATCGGAATCGATAATAATACGCGAAAGTGAAACTGGACCGGTTCGCGTGGTGTACGTACCGTCCGGTGAGATAATATCCGATTTATTAATCGGCCAAAACGAATCCGGAAACAAAGTTACGTTACACGGGTACCCATCCGTCCGTGCGCGTAATAATGTCCTACGCGTTCCCGCGTGTGTGGACGCGCCGGCGCCGGATTCTTACTACCTAACCGGTAACCGGATAGCGGTTATTATTAATTAGGCCCCACCCCGGGTGTGTCGGCCGGGCTCGGGTAAACGCGCCGTTACCGTCGTCGTCAAGTTCGAACCGTACCTATATAACCGCTATCGGTTATCGTTGAACGCATCAGTCGTGTTTGCTCGAGCTTCGCCGAACAGAACACACTCAGAAGTATCGTATACACAAACGAGAATCACGAAGAAAAAATAATGGCGTTCAAGGTAAGTGTCCCGGTGCAATGTTAATGTTCGCTCGTACCATAATAGATTCGCAAATATTACAATAATAATTGTTTCCCGTCAGATGTTTTCCACCGGTTTGTTGTTGGCTTTTGCCGGCATGTGCGTGTGCAATCCGTCCGGCAGCTCGCCGTCGCAATACCAACCGTCCGCGGTGTCGCAAGCGTCGTTCCAGACGGGATCGGCGGCCGTACAACCATCGCAAACCAAACTCGAAGACGTCGAACGCGACTCTTTGGCGGCCGCTTTCGGCCAGAAGACTCAGCCGCAGTCCGGAAAACCATCGTCCGCTAGTAGCCCCGTCACCGCACAACAACAACCACAACAACCTGCAGCCTACCAAGCCGTCCCGCCACAACAGCAATACTTCCTACAACCATACCAGACTCCACAACAGCAGTTCTACGTGCAACCGTTCCAAGCACAACAGTACTTGGCCCAACCGTACCAATCGCTTTTCGACTATTCCGCCCTACAGTACTATGCAAACCCCAACGTTTACAACCCGGGTAACCAGGTGTACCAACAATACTACGTGCCAGCTGCTCAACCGTCGGCTATACCTCAATACGTGACCAAACAGTTGTCTCCGGCCGCCCAAACAACAGTAGCTCAACAGATTTCCGCCCCGGCGACGCAGGTTTCACAAGAATACAAACAACAACAGTTTGCCGCCCCGACGCAGGTTCCCCAAGAATACAAACAACAACAGTTTGCCGCCCCGGCGCAGGTTCCCCAAGAATACAAACAACAACAGTTTGCCGCCCCGAATCAAATTCCACAAGAATACAAACAACAACAGTTTGCCGTTCCAGTACAGGCTCAACAGCAATACAAACAACAACAGTTTGCCGCCCAAGTCCAAGCCCAACAAGAATACAAACAACAACAGTTTGCCGCCCCGGCCCAGGCCCAACAAGAATACAAACAACAAATCGCTGTTCCCGCTTTGGCTCAACAAGAATACAAGCAACAACAGTTTTCCGCCGCCGTCCCCGTTCAGGCTCAACAACAATACGTCATCCCGGCACCCGCCTACCAATACGTACAACAACCAGCCGCCGCCGGTCCCGTTGACTTTTCTTACGTCACTCGTCACCCGTCGGCCGGTAACGCGGTCGCCAATTTCAAAGTGCCGGCAATCGCTTCTGCCGCCGTCCAACCGCAATTCCAATACTCCGAAGTACCCCCGCAGTACTATCAGCCTCAAAACTATTACGCTGTGCCATCTGCCGCCGCCGCCGCCGCCGCCGTCGAACAACCGCGCGTCCAACAGTCGGCCAAAAGCCAATTCTCGTCCGGAGTCAAGTCCACCACGCCGTTCCCGGTGAAGGAACCGTTCGCGTACAAATTCGAATCGTCGTCGCCGCCGCAGCAGCAACAACAACAACAGCAGCAGCAGTCGTACAGCACGATCAAATACACCGCTTAGATCGTATCCGCGAGCCGCGCACCGCGGGTGAACGTAAGCTTGTCGCTTATCAGTTATTAGGGACACACAGGAACTGCACTGGTGCCGTATAGCGCATATTATTATTATTATTATTATTATTATTATTATTATTATTATTATTATTATTATTACTATTATTAATATTATTGTTATTATTGTACGATATTTATTTCGGGTTATACCTGCGCGCGGCATTCGCGTGATAGTAATAATAACGATACGTACTATTACCGTGTCGTTCGCATTCGTGTAACTTACAGAAAAAAAAAAAAAAAGTATATATTTTTTTTTTTTTGTTAACTAATTTTTATATTTTTCAGCGTATAAAAATATTACATTACATTTTTTTTTTTTTTTTTATCTTTTGTGCGTGTTGTACAATTTTCGGTTAACGAATAAACGTGAAAACGCGTCGATTTATTGACCATTAATCTGCTTGTGTTTTTATTGCACATAAACTTTTCCAATTCACGTTAATGACACTAGAAAGCGTTTAAACCCATTATGAACGTCTGCGAGTCACCGTAATCGTTTATAATACAATAATATATAGCACCGCGTCAGTCGTCGAACGCTAAAGATCCCATTTTAAATCGTTCGGACCAGCGAACGGACGTACCTATTATTATCATCACGCGGAAAATATAATATTTTATACGAGCTCGACTATGAAAACGAAACGGTTGCATAAAACAATGCATTTCTCGCGTGAATGTGTCGCGTGCAATTAAAACGAAAAACGCGTTCAATCACACAGGTTTTAATACCGATTGACGATCTAATAGTGTGTACAGCGTAAACAGACCGCTACATGGCCGGCTCATCACTGACGAGCCATCGGTATTTAATAATATTACCGCCAAGTTCTAAAGGGGGGGAGGGGCATTGAATTGGCTCCCTCAACGTTTATTTAATGAATGCATTACAAATCATACAAATTGGTCGAAATATGAATTATAAAATCGAATTAATGTCTTATTCAGTCTTATTATTTAGTAGGCTTAAATCTGTTATATAGAAAGTATTTGTATTTATTGAAATCTGAATTTCATACCATTGTCGTATTTTTGAATTCGTTTGACTGTAATTCGTATTTTGTCTTAAATATTTTTTCGTTGTGGTCTCTATGTGTTTGAGCTTCTTATAACGATTTCAGCATCAACTTAAACACCATATTATACGAAATAACTGTATACATTCGAGTGCGGTAAATGCAATCATCTAATTAAGACTTTTTTCGGATCGTTTAGATATAAAAAAAAAAATATATGTAATTACTTAATCAAGTTTTACGCGTGAATTTATTTTATATGCACCTGCTGTGTTGTATAATGAGCACGACGAGGAATATTTATCCTTAATAATAAAATAGTAGTTAGTAAATAGTAAATACTTTCGCAGTTGGTTTGAAAAAGCAATATGACAGATTTACTTAAAATAATACAAATTTCACGCAATGCATCGCCGTATCGATCGTAATTTCTGAAATTATTAAAACTATACAATTATTAAAATTGATAAGTGGGTACGCTATAATTCAAAATCGACGCACGACAAACGTTTACCCAAATATTTTATTAAATTAAAAATTATGTTTCATAATTTCTATTTTTAGAAAAAAATAATACCAATTACTGTTATTGTTTTCATACATAACGGTAATAATGTAATATGCGTGTACTCTACTCATAATATGTTTGTGCTGTACGAACAGTGAATAAACTATAGGTACCTGTATCGAAACGTATTGTGATTTAATAAATCAATAATATCTTAAGATCAAATAAAAATATCTTACATAAATACAGTTATGCATATAATAAATTAACGTCTGTGATGTATTTGTACGAAATCTGTTACACAAAACTATTCTGCCAATATACACGAAAAAGAAAATATACAGGTAATATAGATAATTTTCAACTACGTGAAAAATGATTGCAATGGAATATGATGATGAACAAATTTTTAATTGCGTGGTTTTCCGTAAGGTAATGTTATATTGCAGTAAAACGAATACAAATGCAGGGTGTCCCACGAAAATATACCCATTGCAATATCTCCTATTATAATAAATAGATAATCAAATGTTTTTTTTTTTTTTTTTACTATATTAATCGTAGTGATAAAGGCTATAAATATTTATATTTGAATTCAATTTTTGTTATGTTTTTAACTGTACAGCAGGCAAATTCGATAGTCGATTAGTATTCATAAGGCTAATTTACTGAACGCATTTTTTTTTTTTTTAAACTTTAAAAAATGATTAAAAATCACGAATTTAATGAAAACAAAAAGTCGACACGTCAAAATTTTCAGAAGAATTAAACACTGTAAGGTTATGTTTGGTTAGGCTATTAGGGCTGTCTTCATATTTTTCAAAAATAATAAAATGAAAAGTTAAGTTTTTAAGTTTTGTATCAAAATATAAAAAATTAATTGAAATATACATATTCATAGTCATCCCCGTGAGTAATATAAGAAAAAAAAAACAGAATCGTACGCAGAAACACGGGTACAATGTATAAACTTTAATGAGAGTAGTATCTTTTCGAAAGGGAATTTTATTTGGGTGGTACTTAAAGAAGTAATATTTTGATTTTCCGAGCGGTTTTTATTATGACTGGGCAAAACCGAGAAAAAATTGGAAAATGTACGTACCTACATGTATAAAAGAAATTTCTCTTCGAATCGTTTTTCTTTAGCAGTGGTTTATCTTTACGTACAAATAAAAAAAAAAAATCCTCTCTACATTATCTTACCTTCCCAACTTCTCACCTACAACAGCAGTGGCCCGTCAATCGTGCAAATTACGTCCGTATTTTTTTTATTTTTTTAAATATTCGATATTTAGATATCCACTGTAAAACTCTCTTGTAAAACTATAAATAACCATAACTGCACTGTTTATCCCTTTGGGGTATTTCAAATTTAAATAATTACATATTATTACACAGACGTTCATCAAATTAATATCATTTCAAATTCGCGAGGTTCTCAAAAATCTAAATATGCAATTTACATGTATTTTGTTCAAAATATTCAAAAAAAAAATCGTTTTCAATCGGGGATAAGTGGACTTATCCGACAAACAGTTCGGATGGAAAAAATAAAATCACGCGAACGCATTGAAATCCTGTAGCCTTGATTATTATACGCGTCGGTTATCTCCGGTGCGAGCCAACTGTAATATCATCAACGACGATAAACGAATGACGTCCGATGTGATGCAATCATTTTATTAAAATTTACGGTACCGCACCGTCTCGTTGGAATAATAATAATAAATCGCATGCATATGTGGTTTGCGCACGAGATTAAACGAATTATTACGCGTCGATAAATAATCGGAGTGTTTTATTTTCCGTAGACTGCAGTACGCAATTTATCGTGCGACAAGTTTAATATATAACATTACGAACTATAGAATAAAAAAAAAATAATAATAATAAGAAAAAGAGATAACGGACGACGGTTATACATTCTGATAATATGACAATAATGTATATATACATCGGAATCAAACACACATCCGAAATACTTTCCCCGGCGAATTGTTCCGATATTATACAACAGTCCGGTAAACTCGGATATTTTTAATGATTCCCCGTCTTCGCGGCGCGCAGAAAAAAAAAATAGGCAGGCAGGCGAGTAATGAAAAAATATTATAGGTAGTTAATGGTTTCTAAAAATTCCAGCGAAAGTTGGATAATGCACGCGCGCGATCGTACGGTTATACCGTCGAATTCGTTTCAATAAAATAACAACGTTTGTATTTGTTTTATAAAATATAATACGCTCGGCGTTTGTTCGCCATTCGCGCCGTCCATTCAGCGCACCGGTGTAATGTCAATACGCACGGTAATAATTGGCCGTCGTATTGAAATCGCGTAAAAACGCGGTAGCAAATACGCGCACCGGGTGTACCCGGCGGTCGCCCGCACTAACAGTAGAGCGCGAACAAAGCGACGGCCACAGTAATTAACGCGCGCGTGTTAGGCTCGACGGTTTTGGGCTGTTTAACGCGCGAGAAATCTCCTGACTTACCGTTATTACATTAATATTAATTAACATTAATACGCCGGCGTTGTTAAATACGGGTAGGCGTGCTTATGGCACGTCTGCACATACCCGTTACATTATTTTACATAATAACCATTCGTAGACGCGTAGACAGTTTTCTAAACGCCGAAAGTGCACATCTAACGTTTTTTTTTTTTTTTGCACCAAATGCGTCGGTGCCGGAAAAAGAACTTTACGTGCCAGTAGTAGGCGCGACACGGGTTTTTTTGTAATACAACTCAAGATCGGCGAACGGTGGATTGAACTAACGCTGGGGACTAGCGCAGACATTAAATCCGACCGCCTCTAGCTGTACATTTTAACACCGCTATCGACCGGTGGTACGGGACACGAATGGTTCGATACAAGGAGTAAAGGTATTTTCCTTTCCTAACCACCGCCGGTGGCCCGCCTTGGATTTTTAAACCCGGGGGTGTAGGTAAGGTTAGGTTAGGTTAAAACAAAATATAAAAAAAAAAAAAAGGTTATGTTAGCTTTCCACCATTAAAATGGGTACGGTAGTACACCTATACTTAAACACATTTTCTCTATGATTCATACTCTAAATTCGCTTTCTCTTTCCTCGAAAATTGCCTCAGAAAATTCATTTGAATTTTATTGTCCTTGAAATTTGGTGGACCGGAGAAATCGCCTATTTCTAAGGGATAAAGATAATACAATTATAGTTATTATGGTTTTACAAGCGATTATACAATGGATATCTAAATATCGAATATTTAAACAGAGAAGAAAAAAAGACGGACATACTTCGCACGATCAGCGAACTGTTTTAGGTCAGAAGTAGAGAAGGTAGGATATAGATAGAAATTTAATTTATTTATGTACATAACGACAAAAAATTGCTAATGAAAAACAATTCTGAGCGAAGTTCAGTTATACATGTTTAAAAATGCCGTAATTTTAACGATTTTTGTCAAATGTAATTTTACAACGCTTATATATATATATATATATATAAAAAAAAAAAAAATACCTAATACATTATTGCTTTTTTTTTTTTGCACTTATTTGAACTCATAATAAAACTCGTATTAAATGTTTAAATATTTCTGTGAAGCCGAAAAATTGTATCCATATTGAACCAATAAAAAAAAAAAAATACATATATATATACCTATATAAAAACTCGAAAAATTCAAACGTCTAAAATTAGCTCAATAACATAACGTCCGAATGTTTCGAATTTTACTACACCTAGAAAAGACTACTATTGATATCGAGAAAGAAATGTTAGGTTTCTTCGATTGTTTTTAATTAAATTCCGAAAAAAAAAAAAAAAAAAAAAAAATGAAAAAACGAATCATTAATAATATAAACCCGTTGACGCCTTAAATGTTTCCGTTCTGGTTTTTCCGAATTGTTAATAAAACTACGATACCTTTTGCGTGCGCCAACCAGGTACGAAATAAAACAAAAAAAAAAGGCCGCGCGTCTTTTTTCGGCCAGAACGATGTTTCAATTGTTCACAAACAGAAAAAAATAATAAACGTATAAAATAAACGGCACACGCCGCAGCAAAACCATTTCATACCACGCTCCGCTCGCTCGCGGTCTGAAACGTTATCCTGTACGTATGTTAAAAGAGTTTTCACATTATTCATAAGTAAATTTTTCCAATGACGATTGCTATTCCAAGAAATGACGCCGTCCCCGGCCTGTTTCACAGTCGATTACCTATTTGTGGAACGTGCGTATTTATTTTCGTATACATTCGAAATGTGCGCGAATACGTGCGTACCGTCAGCACTACGGTTCACATGTAATGGATTTTAGAATCGTGTAGGGTTTTAAATTTTTTTTTTCACCGTAACTATTCAGTACCAGACGCGAGTTTTTGTTAAGCGTATATTTTCAATTTTATGTATGCACTGTATGATTTTTTTTTTTTTTATCAAAACCAATCGTTTCTCGTCAGTGATAATTTTCATTCGTAGGATTTTTTTTTAAAATTTGATTTTGAAGTAATCATAATACTATAATATGTACATTATGGTGAGGTACTCGATAGCGCAGATTAAATGATTTTAAACACATAAAATTGTTTGGTCTTACTTAGCTCGTCGGTTACAAGGAACTTAAGACAGATTTTGTATTACTCCGAGAAACTTTTGCCTATGTGCTAAATGAACAGCTAATGTAGTAAATAATTGTCTTGACGTTTTAATATTTAAATATTAAATACGAATATGGTATACAGTTTTCGGGATAATGCGATAGGTTCTTATACGACTGTCATTTACATAAAATGAAATGTCAATACATATTTCCGGTTTACCAGCACATTTGTTTGGGTTTTCGAAATTATTAAGAGAACTATAAGGAAAACCAAACAAAAAATGATTTTCTCTATGTATTAATTAGATAAAAAATAAAACACTAAACAAAAGTTCTTAAAAAGAATTTGATAGCACCTACCAAAATTTCTGGTAGGAAAGTCGTTTACAGACATGTGCTCAGGGACTCGCATATTTTTTCAGTTGATGTAAATAAAGGTCGGGTAGAAGTAGACATGTATGACTATACTCCAATTATTAGTAACTCAACGCCGTTTTCTGTTTTGCATTTCAAAACTGTGAATCTTAATAAATAAACAATAAACTAATGGTTCAACATTCGATTCGTAGGTATATAATATGTAAATCACAATGTTCAGATAATACCGTTCTATACCGTAAGTAGTCGTGCATGTAAAAAAAAAAGAAGACTTAATTAATTGACTGAGACGCTATGGCTGGTTCGTGATATAATAAATACAAAATCAACTTTTGTAATAATATTAAAACATAATTTGAACCGTAGGAAAAGTTAATTGTTACAGTTTTTTTTTTTTTACTCGTTTACTTGTACTATAATACACGTGAATTATTCATCCTAAATAATTAATATGGTTTTTAATTGTCCGTTTTTGTAGACGGAAATAAGATTTATACATGATTTTGTTTAGTAGAGCTCGACAAATGATATGAAAAATGAAAATTATCCACATATCGCATCTTGTAATAATATACCATTTTTTTCTTAATGGCCCGACTAAAAATTTTTGAATTCATCATTTACAATCCACGGTATCTGGAATCGTAGACAATTATAATTTCAACTACCTAGATAATTAATTGATTTCAAATGTTAAATTAGCCATCGAAATATTCTGACCAAAAATGATTACCGATTGAACACGTATAGGAATTTTTCGGCTTTAAAAATAGGACTTTTGGCCGGCAAAACATCGGTTTCATACCGCTGTGTTTCTGTCCAAAGTGACGGCAACGATGACTACTAAACAATACGTGAATGAACCTTGTCGTGATATTATGATTTATATCTGCTGGAACCTGTCCATTTCTTGCGTCACGTTATGATAGCCATCTACAAAACAACCAGATTTGATTCCAAACACATCGCGAAACATCAAATCGCAAGGATTAATTACTATAGGCCATATATTTTACCATAGGTCTCGATAAATCGCAATAATATTGCGATATTTTATGTTAGAAAGTCACAATAACTGCCGGTTATTGTACGCGATTGTATCACCGTTTTTGGCAGTGAACGTCTGTAGAGACTAAAATATTGGCAAAACCGGTTGAAATTCTTAGAAAATCGATTTACATATTTTCATAATAAAATACATATTGTACAGTTTGTTAAAATATTAAATTTCAGAGATAGAAATTTGTTTTTTACATTATTTTTAAGTAATACAGTAGTCAATAGGATTGATTTTAAATGTAAATCGTAATAATATAATATTAGGGTTTCGCAGTAACATTTGCCGTCTCCGTCCAATCTAACAGGCAATATGGGAAAAATGTGTTTTCGTGCTTCTAACAGTATTCAGGATCTAATAGACCTCAAACAAAAATCATTTCCCAAAATTAAAGACAACAACATTTAGTAGGCTTTCAAATCGGGATTTGTTGCCATATATTTCCCAGATAACGTCCACTCGTACATCAAACTCAAAATAAATATATTTATTATTTTATTTTATTTATAAACCTTGTAAATGTTTCGTCTTTAATTTGGTGAAATCATTTTTGTTCTAGGTCTATTAGATCCTGTGTCCTATTAGAAGTACGAAAACGTATTTTTGCTATACTGCCCGTTAGATAGGACAGATACCGCAAATGTTACTGTGCCGTCCTTTAAATTTAATAAATTATACTATTATTTAACTCTTACATTTATGATTATACCTCTAATAATCTAACGAAATATAGGAAATCGTTTACGAATTTACGATTTGTTACTTTATGATGATTTGGACTGCTGAATGAGTTTAATATTTAAATTTTATTTTCATTCGAGTTTGCCTAACAATTGGGTACCAGGTATACTTATATTAAATCGATGAACTCTAAACAATTGAAAGTTTAGTCAGTTGGTCAGCGGAACTTTTATACGAAATCGAAAATGAACTGTAATTTTTGGTAGTAGACGTATTATAGGTGTACCTATTAGGCACCATCCGCAGACCACGATAATTTGTTACCAACGCAACGGCATAAAATTCCGAATTAATATCAATACACCATATTTGGCGGATGGCATACGGTTTTATTGTATTTGTGTACAAGAAGATAAATACGAAAGAACCAATGCGTATTGGTTTTTTCGAATAGTAACAAATTGGCGATAAGGTTATATTATATTGTAACTAAATTAAAGTAATATACACCTTCGTGGCTATTATTATATTTAAAAAAGCGCGGTATTACATGGCTATATATGATTATTTTATTAATGTATTTAATTCGTTTCAATTATCTATACATTGCGTGGCGGGTACCTATATGCAATACAAATTAATTTAATTAATTTAAAAAAATTAAAAAAAAAAACCCGAACATTCGCACCATGGAGTTCTTTGGCAATTTCGGTTCTACAATAAAAGACGGTAAACATGTGCCAATCTATTACATCAAACAATTCAAAAATAAACCGTTGCCGCAAACACTGCGCGACGTCGTTTCAGTGCGAAATATTAATTTAATGTTCATAAAAGACGACACGACGATACGTCGGGAGCACATTTTTATACGAGTCAATTAGGGACGGTTTGAAAAACACGATGGGTGCATTAAGGAGACAAAAACACAACATCGATGTGTTCGGATTTTACTTTCCTTTATCATTTAATTAGCTTTTACTTAATATTTGTTTTAATTTATTGAACATGCGAGTGTGTTTTTATTACACTGTGATGAGTTTTCCACTTTCTGTCCGTCCACCACCATCCTTGCAATTATTCCGCTTTCTTGATGCGGAACTGTCTCGGGTACAGCTGACCAAAACGGACTAACATTCTTCAGTCGTTCAATCACGGTTTTCCGACGCGACTCCGTTCGTCGTCAATCTAGTGCAGTCGCTCGTGCAAAGTAGTCGTTTTCAGTTGACTTGTATTTGATTTGTTATTATTTTTTTTTTTAATCTTTCATTTTATTTCCAATTTATACCCGTGTTCTGAAATAAAGATGACATAGTGTAACTCAATTCGTGCGCGCGAGTGATATTGTGTTTTTTTTTTTTATTTCGCCGGGGAGCAGCCATTTTATAGAATAGAAATCATTATGTTGTTCAACTTGAATAGCTTGGTAATATTATTAATTTTTCAATTGTAATATTTTTTCCCGCCGTAAGCTAAACGGTGTTATTTTTTCCATAAAAATGAACACAGCCGTAATACAAATTTATTATTTTTCTGTTTAGGTAATTGTGTGTTTAGTTAAATTCACGTTGAGCGAAGACCGTATATCCGTGAACACGGTAGGTACAATAACGGCAACTGCGGGTTACTCGATATCTGAAAATCACTCCCCGACTGTTTCGAGTCTAACGTCGAGCATAGATTTTTTGAACGATCAGGATTCGTCCAAAGATGTTTCGTTATCGAGTGAAACCTATACGCCAACGCCAGCTCCGGGTTATCGAAACGCTCAAAATTTGGCGTTACGGTCAAGACAAGCTAGAGGCAAACCGAATCAGTGGCAGCAACACAGTGGAAGCATCGAAGAAAAAGAACGCGCGTCATTCCCGTTGACTGATCACAGATCAAACGAACAACTGTACAATGTTAAACCTCAAACGTTCGATAACCAATCGCAGCAGTCGACGGATTCTAAAAGCAACGAAAGTGTCGAAAAGTCGGTGCCGTCAATCACTTACGGAAAGAAAATGCAAAAAAACGACGGCAGTGACGACCGACCGGTTTACAACGACTGGTCCGATGAAGTACGCATGAAGTTTGATAACGACAAACTTAATAGATCGCGCAATAAGAAGAATAAAAACCAAGATAGCGGACAGGAAAAAAGGAAACCACAAGTGAACAAATTATTAAATGGCAATAGTGACAACAAAGACGGTTGGCAAGAAGTAAGTCCTAACATGGAAATCGCCACCGGATTCAGCGCAACTGTTCAAGATCATAGTTCTTCACTAGAATCATCTGGAAGTTCAGGTATGTCGTACACCAACAATTATTTATTAAACAAACAAGTACGTTACGTAGGTATCGGCTAAAGAGTTAGCAGTTAAAACCGAGCGAAGTTCGGTTTCAAAGCACGTTTTGACGAATTTATCTAATACAAATTATATTAATTTGTAACAAAAAAATAAATTACTATTGCCAATGTCTATTTGTCTACGTAAATCGGAAAATGGCGGATACGCAAAATGTCGTATTTTTTTAATTTTTTTTTACATTTTTCTGTATTTCTAAAAATGTAACTAATTGTGGATATTTTAAAAATGCCATAATAATACCTTAAAAACATTGGGAAAATCTTTCGAATATTTTTGAGAAACCAAAAAAATAAAAATAAAACTATCTACATTAAACCGAATAAAAACTCCAAAAGACCTCTCCAACGCCGACTAGACAAAATATCCCCCAGAAACCGCCCTTAAAGTTAATGATCGGATCAAGATTTCTGGTAGATAAGTCGTTCACATCAGAGAGATAGAGAGAAATAGACGGTTTATAGATCGTAACGTCGTCGTAATTATCAATGACCAATCGTGACTTCATGTGTCTTAGTATAATAGTAAAAAAACAAAATGTATTATATTACGTCCTATTATTTTATATCTCAAATACCAAAATGTTTTAAATCTTTATTGAAATTGTCTTTTATAGTCAATTATAACCGAATATAACTTTCACACATTAGTCTCATCGTTATTTAAATACGAATATGTTTTTTTTCCGAGAGATAATTGATAACTAATATGCTCGTATCGTATTGTTAATGCATGTATTTTACACAAATAATACACAATCTGAACTTAGCAGTACAATACGAGGATAGTTGTTACGTTAAAAAAAAATTTGTTAAAAACAAGACGAGATGAAAATACAGGAAATGTCACTACAATGTCACTACATTTGGACGTCCGTTTTTCAATTATATTAATACTTTCAATTTAAAAAAGCGAAAAAAATAAAATGGCCCGTTTATTTTAATTTTAAATCTGTTAATGTGCAGATATTCTATTAAATAATTAGGATAAGTTTTTAAACGGTTTTTTAAATACTCTATCTATAGTGAAAACGTTTGAATATAAGTGAGTATTAGATTTGAGCTAACTCGTCATTTTTTTGTCGTTAAAACCGTCAAAACAAATATACGGTGTTTGTGAAACGGGCTTAAAACAAATTGTATAACTTTTCAGAAGACCGAGAAACTGAACAATTTTATTACAGGTTAGTATAAACTGTGCTTACACGCACGCGGTAATTACATGATATTAAAAGGAGATAGACAAATTTCAGCGCAGCCGATCGATTCGCCGTGAAAATTCCCACAAAACTGTCGTATGATTTAAAATTGGCGAAATGTGACTTATGCCCTTTTTCACAAACACCATCCAAAATGTTCACATTTTGATTTTTAGTTTAAATCATACGGACTAATACGAGTTTTCCTTTTTCATTGCTCTCTCATTGAATCTAGCCAACTATATACACAGTCTTAGCGTACGCCCGATTATATGTATACTTTTTTTTTTTTTTTTTTTACATTTAATTATTATGGTAGGTATAATTGGCTAAAATATATATTCTAGAACGGACGTAAAATAATCGAAATTATACGTACATAACGGTGCTGTGTTTTTTTTTTTTTTACTTCGTCATTGTATTTACTATTCGACTACGAAAATATTACTACCTTCCTATCGAAAAACTACGGAGAAAGTGTTTTAATATAATTTTTTTTTTTTTTTTTGTTTACATAATTATATTCGTTACAGAATCGTTTAAGCCCCTTCCGGCCCTGTATCACACCGAAAGCAGCATTTCCAGCATAGAAAGCGAGGCGCAGGTGGAGCCGCAGAATTTCAATCACAAACAAGTGCTGTCGAAAATGAATCACTTCGACTTCAGCAACGCCGTCTCGCAAGCCAACAAAATGCCGCCGCCCAGGGAAAAGCGGTTGAACTATCAGCCGGGTGGCAGCCCGCCGCCGATCAGGTACAGTTACGGCGGTGTCGTCGGTGGCCAACCGCTGCAGTCAATCGCTCCGTCCGTGCCGCCGCCCGTCGCCGTCAAGTCCGTAAAAATCGAACAGCAGCCGCCCAATTATCACAGCATCGTGGTGCCCATACCGATATCGCACCAGATGTACGCGGCTATCGGCGGTGATACGACGTCGCCGGCTCACGGTCACCAGCTGGCCAGCAGCTCGATGCAACAGGCGGTGATGTCGCTGCCGGTCGTGCACAACGTGTTCTTCAAGACGGACGACAACGGCGGCGGAAAGACCATGCCGGCCATAGTCATACCGCTAAAGCCAGAATACCTGCAGCACTTGCAACAGCAGCAGTATAACATGCACGTCCAGCAACAGTCGCCGGATGTGGTGACGTCCGACTCGCAAAATGCGGCCGGCCACCAGCGACCGATACATCACAGTGGTGGCGGCGGCGGCGGCGGCGGCGGCGGCGTCGGCGGAAAGGCGTTGCTCTACCAGCAACAACAGCAACAGCAGCAACAACAACAGCAGCAGCAGCAGCAGCAGCAGCAACAGCAACAACAGCCGTCGTTAACGCCTTCGCAGTTCCAACAAAAGCCTAAATCGACCAAGATCAAGAAACCGTTCGGCCTGATCAAGGACGATCACCGCGTTAAACAGCAATTCGGCGTGCAACATCAATTCTACGCTAATCCGTTCGTGGGCGCCGGCGGCGGCGGGGGCACCGGCGGCGGCGTCGTCGGCAACGGCGGCGGACACCACCTTGGGCACGGACAACACGGTACACTCCAACACCACGGCCACCACATGCAACACGCCCAACACGACGGGCCCGACGACTCGAGGTTCGCGCAGACGGCGACTCCGACCACGCCAGGAGCTGGACACCCTTTCTCCGGCGCCGGTCAGTCGTTGATCGTCAAACGACCACAGGCGTACGGTTACGCGTCCCCAGTAGCCGTGAGCCCTAAGTACGTGGCCGTAAACAAGACGCCGCCAACGCCACAGTTGTCAGCCGAGGAACTATCCACGGCCATCGTACAGCAGCAGCAGCAGCAACAGCAGCAGCAACTCCAGCCGTACAAGACGACCGGGTACCACTCGGGGCCCAGCCATCCGGGTTTCACGTACCTGAACGGGCCCGACGACGATTATCCGTACAGGCCCATATACAAGGACATGAAGAAGCGCAACGACGTGCTGGTGGTGCGGACCGAGAGACGCAAGTGATTCCTCCAATAACTAGCCCTACCCGTACTTACGTTTCATAAACGATTATGTGGACTCCGGCGAGATCGATTCACGTGCGTAGTTAAACGGAGTCTATACTAAGACGTACAGTAATGTACGGTAACTTTATTATTTGTATGCGAAAAATTAATATCTTATAACTACACGTACTTTAAACTATTGTTTAGGCATTATTATTATTATTATTATTATTATTATTATTTTATTGTATCGTGTGACTCAGTTTAGCATTCGCCAACAATAAATCGTTGTTTATCATCATACAAGTGAAATAATTGAAAATATATTACCATAATGATAATACAAAGTAAATACCGCTCATGGTAGGCCACTGTAGTTGTAGGCGGGTATTTTGTGCAGGGTAATTGCAGGTTGAGTTTGCGTGAAAAAAACCAAAGTTTAATTGCTTAACGGAAAAAAAAATTTAGAAAAAAAACTGAAAAACATTATAGAGCAATCTGTTGGAAAAGGTATTAGGAGTTTGGAAAAAATACGTTCGAACAAGCACGCCGTCCGGCGGAAAATCCGCGTCATTTAAGGCGCCTTATGAGATGCGGGAAAATCGGTGAGTTTTCACTAATCGAACATTTTTTTTTCCCCTTCGATACGCCCGGAGTCGAAATCTCCGGGTAAACGCGTCGAGAAACGTTCGACGTTAAAATACGCGGCTAAAATAACCGTACGAGCCGTCCGACTTGTCGGCGATGGCCGCGAAAAATTAGAACCCAATGTTTATTTCGGCACAGTGCCCGGGCAGTATTTTCGGCGGACGCGATTATCACGGTAATCCGACGTACGCGTGTCCGTACGGTTTTCGGCTTTTCGCCGGACGTCTCCGCAGTAAAAACGCCCGCAGTTCGCGTTCATCGCCGCCGCCGTTCCGAGGCCTCCCCCTAACCGCCGGCGACCGCCTTCCCCCTGTGATCGCGTGCGTGGCCAACGGCGAATCGAACGGCGTACCTACTCGTGAAACGTCCGGACCGCCGTCGTCGCTTTCACAGACGTACGGTCCGTGATGTGTAATGCGTATAACGCGGGCACAGTGTTATATTATTCCAATTCGCCTATTAAAATCCGATTTCCAAGAGAAACGTGTGTACCTACCGCGGAGTTTACACTGCGGGTATCTTCGTCGCGGCCGCCGCGTGTGTGTTTTTTTATTATGTTGTTTTTTTTTTTTTTTTATTTCGTTAACGTGTTCAACGAAACGAAAATGTATAAACACAGAACACACACACACACTGCACGCGATTATTTTTCGCCGACCCGTTACGATTCAACGAAATTTCAAACCTAACCGTACTGGCGCACTAACCTGCGAAGTCACTAATTGTAATGCCTACGCCTACGACTCCGTAAATCGTTACCCGAATGAGAATGCGGGCTGAACGTAGGTGAGTGTCTGCAGTGTTTACGCGCGGGCATTGGTTTGAAAACCGACCAGCTAGGGTGTCGTCCGACGGATTCAGACTATAATTTGGCAGCCCTAGTTTATTTTATGTTAAATGTGCCTAATTGGCCGCCATATAAACCGTTATGCGATATCGATAAAATGTAAACCGAAACCACTGCCAACAGCCGCCTTTACCGGAGTCCGGCTGTTTGCGATGTGTGCAGAGAGTGAGACGTGGGCGATCGTTACCACGGTTAATTGTTAACTGTCAATTATCGTTGGCCATGGCTTTACGGTTAAAGCGAGTAATACCATCGTGGTATCGGTGTGATTGTAATATCGTATGCTAGTCATACGAGCTAACTGATATAGTTTCTCAAATTTTTTTTTTTTTACAGAAATATTTGTCTATAGTATTTGAATATTGAAATAATTTAATGTGAGAATACGAGCGGGCGAAAACGTTTTTATTTCGAAGAGTTTATAATTAATGGCCCGATGGTGGTGCAAAAAAATTGGCCCGATACAAACATCTGCATAATTATTGAAAAACTAAAATGACGTCTCTGCCGACGAGCACGATCGAATGGTAAGAACGATACGGTTTTCCTGCACATCAAACCTATACAGTGACGATTCGGACCAATGCGATCAATAATCTAACGACATTATCGCGTTACCGGTAGGTCGGACATTGTACACGCGGTCAATATTTGAAATCCGCAATTTCGATAAATTGCCGTCCGTTTAGCACGCGGGTTTCCAGACCAGGTGTTTGTGCTATACTAGGTAGTTGCGATCAAAACCGAAAATTACGTATTACAGTTGCGGTCGTTCAAATTATTGGTCTGCCTACTAAATGCGGAATAATATTACTGATTTTTTTTTTTTTTTTTTTATTATGTATATTATTGAATTTATATTATTTTATTTACAGTTTATTAATCAACGTTGTTCATGCAATCGCAAAGCTAACAGGCTGTCTACGCTATTATTTATTGTGTAGGTAAGGTTAAAAAATTATTGAATGTATGCATGTAAAATAATTATGGTTATGTGGATGCAAATTCGAAAGAAATCGCCTTCAAATTCTCAAGACCGCAACTCGGATGTACGCACACTGTGGTAACCGCAATATAGGCGATGACCGCAATTGTTATATTATACTGTTTATCTGAAAAAACCACCAATGATCGCAACTCGTTTGCAGTCTTCCTTAGAGTAAGACGGCATCTGCTGTGTTTGTGTTTGTTAGGCGGGTTAAGTATAGGAGTACTTTTTTCTCTACGCGTACCTTCTAATTCAGTCGGTGTTTTCATCTCCACTGTATATACTCGTATTGTTACCTATAATTTAATACTTACGCTATTGTACAACATTATCGCTGTGGATTTGAAATTCACCCCTTGCTTAACGCTTGATGCTTAATCAGTGTTGAATCCGGACAAGTAATTTTTTTCAAATAAATTTGTACGTATTATAAAACATAAAATGCTTTGTTTTAATCATTTTTCAGTGTTGGAAAAATGTATTTAATGAGGTGATAACCGTCAAAGACTTAAAAACTCGTTTACCACTGTTGCTTTTTTTTTTTTTAAATATTTTAAAGTGTTTTCATGACAATTTAAGCGCTTTTCTACGGATTTTAAGTGCATATAAATCCGTGCCCTAATTATATCATTCATTTATATGTGTATAAATCACGCACGCATAAACTTGGTTCTTAAACGGGTTTCTTACTCAATACTCATTATTATAATAGTTAACAAAATAATCGTTTCTACCGCCATTATAAGTTATTACCGTCATTATTACGTTTAAAGTGTTAAAAACTGTACGAATGTTAGCCTTATTTGGTTGTTTGACGTTTCCATTACTTGTGTATTTTAGTATATTGATTAGTATAAGCTGTGTCACGGGGCGACCATCAGTATTAAGCCCGCTAATATTTCCTTCATTAAATAAAACTGTTTTCCTCTAATCCGAAATCCCGAAGTAATATTACATTCAAAATATCTACAATATATTGTACCTAAAGGTTAATAGTCCACTGCGTAAATAAGAGGCAGGGAGCCGGAGTATATCAATTAATTTGTCAGAAAATTAAACGTGCATCTAATATTTGTTTCGAGAAGGCATGGCACGCAGTGGATGATACAAGGGGAGCGCCACGACGATTCCCCTCTCTCTTTGGACCGTGTTTTTTCATCTATTTTCATTAAAATTTGAACACAGTGTTAATAAAAAAAAAAAAAAAATACTGTTTTACGTTGAATTTTTTCCGCTAATAATTGCAATTCACCAAAACAATTTCAATCACATAAAACCATATAAAATCGTAAACAACTCTACATTTTCTAAAACATCTACGACTAAACAATTTCCAGAATAATTTGAAAATTGTACCATGTCTGTAAAGATCTGTATATAATTAAGAGATATACCTATATCATTATTAAGTGAAATTTCCGGCCTCTACTGTTATTTTTCACTGAACAAACGAAATAGAATATAACATAAACTGTGTAAAACGTAATTGATAAAAAGTTAAAAGTTTTCCCGGCGTTTTTTCAAGGGTTTTCCAAAAAAAATCTAAACATAACCATCTCATTGCGCCAACGAGACAACAATTTTTACTAGAAACAATTACCTTTAAAGTTTACGATCGGACTATCGAAGCAAGGTTTATGGTAAAAAAGTTGTTCACAAATAAAAAAATAAATAAAAACACATCTATTCATTATATAATCTAAAATAAATGTTATCTATTATGTAAGCATTGAGTTTGCCTGCAGTAGGTGCAGTGGCGGATTTGATTCGTCTTCTTGGGGGGAGGGAGGCAGTATCCTTGTCGTTCGAAAATTATATGTTTAACTAATGTGACCACTGACCGCTTGATGTGGTGGCATAACTATTTATAGAGATCGTGATAGGACGAACATTTTTTTTTTTTTTTTTTAAGTTTTATAGTCTTCTTTTATTTGTTTAGTTCGAGCACTGGTTAATACCATAATAATATGCAATAAGTGCCGAAACACAAAACAATACTAATACGCAGTTTACATATACACGAATAAATCGAACGAATATTAAATGAAAAAAAAAAAATTAAAACGATACCGGTATAAATAGAGATTACGAACATTTTACGGTAACTCGGTTCCGAATAGGTATCGCAAAACATCGATGATTTTGATTTTCGACAAGGGTGGATGATCATTTCAAACCGCATCGTTTCCCCGAACTAACGAACCGCGACGATCCGGTTCAAAAGCTTGGGTTGAAAAAAAAATTGTATCGCGATTCGGAATAATGTTAACATTTACGCTGCGGCTATAAATACTATAATATTATATACGCGTTATTGATTTAGTTACAGTGTTTTGCATACTATACAACAGTCGAATCGGACTCGGACTGCAATAACAAATGCAATTAAAACGTTTTCGCTTTATCATCGCGGTAGATTTTTGTCTCTCTCTCCTTCTCACACTCTCTCTCTCTCTCTCTCTATCTCACACGCACACACGCACACGATTCGAGCGGTTGAAAACTCGTCAGACAGAGAATTTCGGTGCAGTTTCCGAACGTATACGTACAGTTATACGCGCCGTACGTTGAACTACACTGTACTTACACCGGGAAAGTATATTACTACTACTACTACTACTACTACTACTACTACTACTACTACTACTGCTGCTGCTGTTATTATTGTCGTCGTTAAACGACTCGTGTTTGCGACATTAACACGCTGTACCTGTGCGTACGTACGCCGCGCACAGTCTTCGGACCCGCGACGCGCAACGCACTCGAACGCGATACGCGCGTTACGATATTTTACCGTTTGTGTACAGACGCACGGAACATAACATAATATTATTGTAATAACATTACCGTCCGCGGGTAAATGCCCCGTCCTTCGGCGCCTGCGCGCGGAAATGTGAAATTCGACGATTTCATGCTTTCCCGTCTGCCGCGAAAAAACGCGTACGCGATAATATAATACGCGAGGTCCGTCCGCAGAGAGACTGTTGCAATATACGTACTCGTATTATTACTATTATTATTATTATTATTATTATTATTATTGTTGTTGTTGTTGTTGTTGTTGTTGTCGTCGTCGTCGTCGTCGTCGTTGTAGGTACGCGTGTTCGGACGATTCACTTTCAACGATCGTTATTTGCCATTGTGTTACCTTCCGGCTCGCGGACGTCCGCGACCGCAAACGGATTTATCATTCCGGCCGCGCGTACGCCCCGAGACGGAGAAGATCCTCGCCGCCGGTGCGTTTCGTGCACCTAATGTACGATATTATTTAGTTCGTTGGTACGCGCGACAGTCGTGTAGAAAGTGAAATTCGCGATACGGCGGCGGCGGCGACCGCGTAAACTGGTACGGTCGTTGTTAATCGTTGTTATACGTACGGGATTCCATGCGGTTTTTCGTCTTAACCCCCTACCCCCCCCGCCCCCTCCGCCCCTACCCCCGGACGATACGACGATAATTTGGATTTAACGTAAAATACCGAATTATCGCGCACGACGATCTTGGTATCGATACGACCGTATCGCGCGATAACGCAACGTGTATGCACGTACCTCTAATACGCGCGATTAGTTC